GCTTAATTGCTTTTATCCCAGAGTTCAAGGGCTTAACTGCTTTAATTAAAGTCTAGGGTCTTAATAGCGATTCTGGGGTTAGTTCAGGAGCTTAACTTATGTTTTGCCTCTGTTTTATTATTTAAATTGTATTATATTATAAAATAAAAATTATTAAATAAAAATAAAAATTATAAAATTATAATATTTTTATTTAATAACTAAATACAAATGGTCTAAATTACATAATATATATATATTTTTTATTAATTCTGTCGGTGGCTATTATTATTATTATTTTTCTCGTTGTATGAATAAAGGCACTCTTTCTCACGCATACACCGCCAATTGGCCGGCTGAGAAATTCCATTTTTGTGAAGAAGATTCATATGCAGCTTCCTCGAAAGTGCCCAGAAGACTTTCTCTAACCAGGCAACTTCAGTCAACCTCTACCATCACTCGTAAAGTTGCAAATTGCAAACCGTGTCTAGCTACATACTTCAATTTTCATCTCTAAATCTGCAGCACCGATCTCCATGGCTGTTCGATGCCCACCACTGACGCCCACAACGGAGCCCCTGCTGAAATTCAACCATACCCCCATAAAAAAAGCCTGAAGAGCTCCTCCACCATCTCACAGGTTTGTTTGTCTCTTGTTTGATCATGGCATTAATTATTTCTCTTAATTTTTATTGAAGTGTCTCGATAACAAATAAGGAGCTGAGATTTGTAATAGAAAATATACAAAGTGAAAAGCTTTAAAAGAAGTCAGAAACAAATTACCAAATAACAATAATAATGCGATGGGAGCAAAGTATTATATTTGAGATGATTTGAAAAGAAATAGTCTCATAAATTATCAAAAAATGGGATGAGAAATGTTGGGAATGTGCCTTGAATTATCAAAGTTGAAGTTTGCCTTGAATAAGCAAGGCGTTGACATCTTGACCAAGATGCTGACACCGCAGAAGCAAGGTATAAAACAGTAGCTAAAAAGGTTCCAAACCTTGGTCGAGGTTCTGGACCCTCAATTGGGGGCATGGCTGCAGCCTTGTTTCGACTTTCGAGATGTGTAGTGTCAACACCTTATCAAAGACTTGGCAGCTTCACTTTGTCTCCTAACTTAAATTCAAGTCAATTTGGGAATTCTAATTAACAAGTGCCTGAATCAAATATTCAAGGATCTTAAAGATCTTATGGAGTTTTAGTGAGATTTAGTTTCCTAACCTTAGAAGGAACTTTGGGATCCTCGCAACTCTTAGGGCTTGAATTTTTGTTATTGGCAAACCTGAGATGAGTGGTGGAGACACACCTTTGGTGTTGAAATCCCACCTCCCATGGGGTGATGAGTGGTGAGCGAAGAGACAGAGATGTAAGAAGAATCTCGAGGAGTTTTTTGAAAGATTAGGAGTACTTAGAAGAGATTGAGAGGGGTCTTCTAATATCTAATATTGTAACTCTTCTCTCTATTAATTAGTAGATCTCTTATCTTACTTCCTGATTTTTCTTATTGAGGGCTTTCCACGTTAAATTAGTAATTTTATTTTGTTATTCTTCACTTACATAATTCTTTAATGAGTCGAATCCCAACAATTGGTACCAAAGCATGTAGTGGGAATTTTATTTCCAATGGTGAAATCAAAGATCAAAGGGGAATTTCTTAATTTCCAACATGGAACTGCATAAGGAAAGGATATATTATTAAAATAACTTTACTTTTACATATCATTAAATTAATAGAGATATATAATATTATAGTCTTGTAAAGTGCAAAAATCAACTTTTTAATGATAAGTATGGTTGTAGAAAAAATATTTGTATGTTAAAATTGTCCTCAAATCATTTTCGATTGAAATTAATTAATATTGGAGTTTACACTAAAAATGTTTATTTCTGAATGTTGTATAGCTTCATCTGGATTAAATCATTAAATAACAGTACAACATTGTCTAATTTGTAGAGTTCCCGTGGACTATTAATTACAACTATTGAACTGGCATTGAACATTTTCTTTTTCTAAACAAACCGCAGGCTTCAAGTTTTGAATTTGATCATGGCGATGAACCCTTTTCTGGCCAATGTACTAGCTAATGCCACTGGTAATCTATTATCTGATTGTGTGGAAGGAGTAGCGAATTATGTTGGAGAACATATTGGTTTGTTAAACAGATTAGAACCGGAGGATAATTTTGAATCAATATTGAAAGAAGAAGCAGAGAGGCTACGGGCTTTAAGAGATGATAATGAGCGGGAAATCCGGCAAAATAAAACCAAAACTACCTCTAGCTGTTACAACCAGTGGCTTGGTAGTGTGACCAAAATTCTTCCAGAGCTGGAAACATTACAAGCTGAATGTGAACAACAAAGGAATGTATTGATAGAGTGTGCCATTGGATCAAAGTTCTGGGAAAAAGTGAGAAATATTTTGCAAAGAGTCCAAAAGCTTATGGAAGAGGGGAAATTTCCTAGAGGTTTTTTGATTGATAAACCTCCAGAACCTGTTATAAAGCTGGGATCAGTACCAGACATCAAAGCAACTGCCACACTTCAAGGACCTTTGGAGGAGATACTATTGTTGCTAAGTTGTGAAGAAGTGAAGACTATTGTGATTTGGGGGCCACTGGGTGTCGGGAAGACCACAATAATGCAAAACTTGAATAATCATGAAGAGGTTGCAAAGTTGTTTCGAATGGTAATTTGGATAATGGTATCAGAGGAGAGGACTATAGAGAAGCTGCAGATGGAGATAGCAAGTCGGCTTAAATTGAATTTGCAAGGCACTGAAACTGCCCGTGAAGTTGCTAGAAGCATATCAGAAGAGTTGAAAGATAGAAAATACCTGCTCCTCCTAGATGATGTGAAGGGTGTCATTGATTATGATCAGCTGAAGAGTATTGGAGTCCCGGATAATGAAAATGGCAGCAAAGTGGTATTAACAACTGAAGATCGTAGAGTTTGCTCTAAGATGGAATCAGTCAGGGACATAGAGGTTCAAAAATTAACTCAACGTGAGGCTTGGGAGATGTTTAAACAGAAAGTAACTGGTGAAAAAATTAAAATTCCTGGCATTAAACGAGTTGCTCAGCAGGTTGCCAAGGAGTGTGGTGGACTCCCCCTTGTGATAAGTTCAGTGGCCAGTTACTTTAAATTGAAAAAAAGTGCTGCTGAATGGAGGAATGGCCTGGAAGAGCTCAGAGATGGTTCTGAAGTTGAGATCCCACGTTTAACACAAATACACGCATTCTTGAAGTGTTGTTATGATGACTTGAAAGATGAAAACAAAAAGAGATGCTTCCTTTATGGTGCACTACATCCGGCAGACACAAAGATATCGACCGATTATTTGGTGATGTGTTGGGCAGCTGAAAGGTTCCTTGGCAATGTTGATGACAGTAGGAGCTTCCGCACTGCATGTGATAGAGGGTATGGCATATTGCGGTATCTAACAGATGTGTCCCTATTGCAGACAGGTAAAAGGATGGAACATGTCCAAGTGAACAATGTGGTGCGACAAGTTGCACTTCATATTTCCTCAGAAGATCTTGACAATAAATTTCTAATTGGAAATCAAACTGGAACTTCACCTATTCCTCAAAGGGTGAGTGATTGGGAACAAGCAACAAGGATCTTTATGATACATGCAAAACTAGAGGACTTGCCAAATTTTCCAAGATGCAGCAAGTTGTTGTCACTACTTCTACAAAGGAATCCTGACTTGAGAGCAATTCCTCCATCATTTTTTGAAAAAATGCAGAAGCTTCTGGTTCTCAACTTGTACAAAACTGGAATAGTGTCCCTGCCGCAGTCCTTTGAAAAAATGACAGGACTTAAAGCACTTTTTTTAAATGATTGTACCAGCCTAACACGCCTGCCTCTCCAAATGAGACAACTTAGTCTTCTTGAGGTGCTTGATATTCGCGGCTGCAAGGTAACCTTCATACCACCTTTTATTGGAAACTTGGTTCAACTAAGGTGTTTACGGGTTTCATACTATAAACCAACCATGATGAATGGCTATGAAGGAATGGAGACAGATTACAATGTGATTTCATGGCTTTTCAAATTGGAGGAACTAGTAATTGATGTGATCTCTTATGATCAATGGCACACTGAGGCTACAAATGTTATCAAGCATGTTGCTTCCTTGGAGAGGTTAACTTCTCTCAAGATATGCTTTCCAAAACCAGAGGTCCTTTGTGCTTTGATGAAAAGCAGGCCAAATTGGCAGGGTCGCGAAGAACTAGTCTCATTTTGGTCTTTTATTGGTTGCCAAAACTGTCATCCTCCTGAAATTCTTGACCATTTCAGTTATCCAATAGGTAGATATTTGAGATACGACTACGATGGACATCATATTGGCTCCTCCATTTCTAATATGTTTCCTGAGATAGATGCATTGGAATTGATTGGCCACAACAACATTTTATGTTTCTCAAACTTCATGCAAGCACCATGCCTCAATGGAGTTGTTGGTTGCCTGGTTGAACGATGTAGCAACATGGTAACCATTGTTGGTGGAAATAATGCAGGAGGAACAAACATTCTTCCATCTTTGGAACAACTACATTTAAGGAATTTGCTAGATTTGAAAAGCATTTTTGAGGGGCCATTGTCAGAAGGAAGTCTATCAGAATTGCAAACAATAACAGTGAAAGGTTGCCCTATGTTGACAGAGATATCCTCAAATGGCCTAATTCAACAACTGCCAAAACTCACAAGATTAGCAATTGAGAGCTGTGATGGAATTGAGCAATTGATTCAAGAGTCTAGTAGCAGTGGAGCAATGCGAAATCTCGAGGTCTTGGAATTAGCTGACATGAAAAAATTAGAAACTATATGTGCAGATGAATCATTGGCATGGCCCAAGTTAAAGGAGCTTCGGATACACCAGTGTAAAAAGCTGAAAAGACTTCCTTTCAACAAAGAAAATGCGGCAGGGTTAAAGTTGATCGAAGGGGAACAAGCATGGTGGGGTAACTTGTCAAACGAGGAATTCAAGGAGCACTTTCAATCCTTTGGCATTCTCAGGTTGGGTGTTTAATTATTTGAAGCTGTGCTTAGGAGAAAAGTTGGAAAAATGATTGGAAGCTGCATCTGTGTATGGTCATTTTGAAGCCTAATCATTAGTTTCACCTTTCTGTCATTTCTGCTTTCTCAATTTCATGTCCTGTTTTAATGATGTTTCTACTATGATGTTTCTATTAGGAGCTTGTTCAGACTAGGCAACTTATGATATTTTCTTCTGTGTAGCTTATGGTGTTATATTTGAACAACTTGTTTGGAGATTCAGTATATACTTATTGTAATGGTGTGGTGGTTCAGTTGTTGTTAACCAGATTACCATCCATTTTTCTTATTTCCTAGAGCTTGAAAATTAGCTGACTGAACCTGTAGGTCTAATTTGAGAATGTTTGTCTTTAGTTGTTTATTAATGGAGATGAACCCTGTTTTCCCATTTTAACTCTAAAAGAAACTGAATTTAGAACCTGAAATCTAATTTGGAAATATAATTCAAGATGTTTACATTAGTTATATTCTTGTTGATTGTTGGTGAATCATTCCCAGTAAGAAAGCAGCAAAAAATCTAAATCGCCCGTTACTAGGCAGGTGCTTGGTGACTCCTGTACCGTGCTGCAGAAACTGAAGATGAGGACACAGAGGAATCAACCTTCACAGGAGGTAAACCAGAGTTATCCTAAAAATTCTCTTCCTCAGTTATTGCCACGGTGGTTTCGTAGTTCCTATCCTGAAAACCAAATTGACATTCGTACCAGGAAAAACAGCATCAGCCTGGCATTGAGAGTGTTGGCAAGAAGGCAAGAAGGCAAGAAGCAAGTTTACCGAACATGAAACACAGAAACAGTGGGAAGAAAGCACCAACCATTGTTGATTTGATTTAGTCAAGTGATGATGAAGAACAAAATGAAGTGTTGCAGCACAGTAAGCAAGCAACCATCTGATGAGCGGGACAAGCTGTATGTGGTATAGACAAACCAAATCCCTGAACTTTTAAAATGGTAATAATCAATTTCAACTTAAGTTTGATTTTCCTTTTTTCTTCTAATTACTTTTTCTGTCAATTAATAGTAGGTGATATAGCAATTTACGATTTTTATAATATTTCTATTTTTTTAAACTCTCCATAACTGGTATTAAGATCTATATTTCTTCAATTAATAGTAACTCAATACATCACTCCTTACTCCCACATCAAATATTACTAACCTAGATATTCCCACACCCAGGTGGTTGGAGTTGGAAGTTGAGAGGTAACCATTCCATTCCACAGGATGGAAAGCGACTTACAATTATTTTACTGTTTATCTTTTTTCCTCAACCATCCATCACTGGTTGGTTCTTCAATTAAAAATTCTTACAACATCAAAACCAGTATCAAAACTAAAAGAACCTTGTTACTTGTTTCTTGCAAGAAGCACACCACAATTCTAGCCAACCCCATATCTGCTCTAATTTTTTATATAGAGCTTGCACACAGCACAGATCTCTGTAACTCTGATATGCACTCACGTTATATTAATGGCGGGCTAAGAGACGTTCCATCATCTATCCCTGGTGGTAAATTTTTCAGTCAGCAAGAAAAGTAATTTATCTACCTTCATATCTTTAGTTCCTTCATTATCATAACCTCTTATTACCTTTGGTTTGTTTGTTATTCTCTTCTAACAATTAATATATACCTTCTTGGATCTTCTCCAGTTCATTTTCCAAATCTTTCAGCCGACAACTCCATCTAAAAGGTTCATGTTAGTCTAATTTTGTACTCTACTAATATTTTTATATGTGCATGCATGATATGTCAGCAACAAAGATGATCTAATGACACTTCCAGAACTCCACAACAATCAGCAACAAAGATTCGGCATTTGAATTAGCAACTAGAATTCTTTTAACAGCAAAAGTTTAACATCAAAATCACATGATTAACAATGATTTCCATGTATTTAATGTCGGCTTGACAAACAGTACTTTAAAATTTCACTGGATGCAGGAAAAGTAACATCTTGTCATATCAATCCAACAATATTGCTTGTCAAATCTTATTTGGAAAAATATATAAAGACTTTCAACTTTTATTTGCAACTAGATGATGAACCAATAAAGATTACAACTTTCACAACGATATGTTCCTTAAATGACCTCTGCGCAAGATTGTGTCGAAAGACTCCAAACAACTGCTAACCTATAGCCTCAAATAAAAGAACGTAACTTTGTACTATTAGAAGCAACAACTAACAATAAGCATTTTACCGAAACCAAGCAATAATAAAACAAGATAAGCTCACCTCAGCACACATTGGGTGCCTGTGTAGTGTCAAAGGAGGATGCATCTTCCAGAAGAAAATAAAGCTGTACTATTCTGCAATAAACAAAGTTGATACTTTCAAAATAGCAGCAAAATCTCAAACAATATGTAATAGAGAAGTAACTAAATATATGAATTGGCTGAGAGATACTTTCCCAAGCTTCCAAAATTTGCCACAGAAATCGGTACAATGAGACCATGATCCCACAAAATTGGGACAAATACAAATAGAATTGAAAATATAAGAATTCTTAGGTCAAGAACCAATTAGAGGAAACAAGTACGCCCACGAAAAAATTATATAATCAAAGAACTCCAAGCCACTCTCCTACAAAACAAAAATGAAAATTGGGAAATGAAAGACTCCATTTTCATGAACCATCATGAAAATTTTGGTTTATACCAAAACCCCAATATTAAGTTGGAATGCATTAACACCAGAAGATTTTACTAAACTTGATGGCAGGACAATTGGGAGGTTTTTGGGCAAATTCATAAACGATGAAGCTCCATCAATGCCATCACTAACTAACAGCCAACAGAAAAATTACAAATAATATGTAAAAATCTGAATTCATACACAAAACATATGCATTCATAGAAAGAAAGTGCAAAAATTTACAGAAACCCCACATCCAAAGAAGCTAACTTCGAGAAACAGATTAGAAGTTGAACAGGGGCCACTAACCACGGGTTTATGAAGATAGTCACCACCGTCCTCATTCCGCCGCAATTAAGGTCGTTAACCTCCTCCTACCCCTCGTCGGAGCCACAAAGTCTGAAAACAGTGACCGAAGACGGAAAGTAACTACCCTCCTTGCAATTTGAGCTTGGTTCGGCCATCTGTTGGGTAATTTTAAAATAATATTCATTAAAAAAAATAGAGAAATGTTTCAGAATGTAGATTATACCATTATATATATAGTTTGTTTTATAAATTTATTTAAATATTTTTAAAAATAAAATAAAATTAAAATTAAAAATATTTAAATAATTTTATAAAATAAATTACATTTAGTTTTTTTAATAAAATAATTTTTTTAAAATAAAATATACTTTCATCCAAATTTTATATATTATATTAAATTTTTATAAAATTATAATTGAAAGCACTTATCTTGTTAGTGGATCGGTGCTTATCTTGTTTTGGGTCGTTTCTACTTAATTAAGCGTATTTATGTTAAAAATGTTGATATAAGTAAAAAAAAATTAATTTTATTTAAATAATTAAAATCTAATATAATTCTTAACCATTGAAGAGATTAATAAAAAAAAAAATTAAGCCTATCTATGGTACACCGTTCGGACCACGAGAGAACAAAAGACATGTGTTAACAAAGTAAAGCGAGTGATTTCACGCCCCTACTCCTGCGAGGACCGCTGTTTACAAACTCGGAATTTCTCCCACGTTCCTACATTACCCCGTGAAACACTCTCCCCTTCCTTCTCCAACAGCACGTCTTGCACGCACGCTCCTTTTCTATAATTATTTTCCATTTTTTTTTTCCGGACAGAAATAAAAAACATGAAACAACTTCAGTACCATTATAAGTTTATAACTGATATTTTGTTTCCTTAAAAAATTTATTTCTTTCAGTTTCATCCTCTCTACAAGAAAGGTTTTTTTTTTTGAAAATACGCAATGGATCTCTGCAAGAAAGGTTAATGCTTTCGTGCTTCTCCCTTCTCCTTTTCTTGGATGCCCTTGTTCTGCCTCTTGCTTCAGATGTACGACACCGTTGCCTCAACAGTAGTCAAAGAAAGTCCTCTGCTTTTCCCTCCCCCTTTTATTTTTTCCTCCTTGGTACTCTCTTCTTTTTTTGTCCCGTCTTTTTTCTCCCCTTTCTCATTCTTTGCTTTTAGCTATAGACTTTAATTGAGGAAGAAAAGCACGTTTAGTTGGTTGGGTATATCTCTCTTTTCACATTTGTCTCTGGCTCTTTTGGGTTTTGGATATTTCTTCCAAAATGAAGACTTTCAACTATGTAAGTTCTCCC